TACACTCAATTCCCTCATCTAAATCATTGATGAATATATTAAATAATATTGGTCCCAGTACCGACCCTTGAGGCACTCCACTAGATACAGGCCTCCAACTAGACTCCACCCCATAGACTACAACTCTCTGGCTTCCCTCCTTCAGCCAGTTCACAGTCCACCTCACTACCCGACCATCCAGACCACACTTCCTCAATTTAGCTGCGAGGATGCTGTGGGAGACTGTGTCAAACGCTTTGCTGAAGTCAAGGTAGACCACAATAGGATACCCGATAACCATTCAGTCACAGAATATGTAATAATTGCACTGTCCACTGGAGACATTCTTCCTTGGTTTCTGTAGCAGTTAACAGGTCATGCACGTGTTGTAACAGAGTCCCCGTCTGAGCAGGTGGCTGCCATGATTCTAGTTCTCATGCTAGCTGATTTCCAGAAATTGCTGGACTGTTTTTAAACCCCTGTGGTAATACTGTCCGAGTTAATTGAGTTTCCCTTCCTGTGTCAGGATTTTCCCGTTCAAAAGCAAATAACTTTGGCTTTCTTTGGACAATGGGAAGCAAAACAAAGCGTCCTTTAAATCCAGGACGGCAAACCATTTCTGATTATTATTCAATTTAGTCAATAAGTCATTGAATTAGCTACTACTGGACGAATATCCTCTGCAATTTTGTTGACTACTCTGAGATCTTGAACCAAGCTGCAACTTTTCCCATCATATTTCTTTGCTGTCCAGATAGGAGTGTTATATTCCAATTCACATTCAATTAATAATCTATATTTTAATATTTATCAATGATTTTTTTTTATTCCCTTTGATCTTCTAATTTTAAGGGATACTGTTTTATTGTGATTGGGCAGGCCCCCCTTTTTATTTCCACTTTAACAGGCAAAGCATTTTTTGCCTTACCTGGAACTTCAGATGCCCATACTCCCACATATACCTGATTAAGGGTTTCTTCTATTTCAGGGAGGTCCTCCTTTTTGCTTTTCTGTTGAATTAGAGATAAACTCAAAACTGCAATTAATTGATTGATTGTTTTTAACTCTAAATTCCATTTTGCCTTCTTTAAGTGTTGCTTCTCATCCTAATAAAGATTTTAGAGAATTTGGCATGCATAAAAATTTACGCATTCCAATTTGTTTTCCCAATTTGTATGTTAATGGTTTCAGAAAGAATGCCTTTTTTTTTTTTTTCCCCTCTCTTTTTCTTGGTGGCCACTAGCTCCCACATCTGTAACGAATTCTTTTCTCTCTGATTTAACACCGAATAAGTTGCTCCTGTATCCACTAAAATTCCACTTTATTTCCTCTAGTCCCTAGTTTTAATGTAACCGGTGGATCTGCTAGGGTAGATTCCCCACGTCCCCATCAGTTTACTTCCAGTTCAGTTCTAGTTCAGTCACCGGAGCCACCCCATGGCACTGCCCCCCCCCCCCACAGGGCAGCCTCACTTCCAGCGTCCAATCCCCCCATAGCACACACACCGATCTGGTCCCACAGAAGAGGACCCCACTCCCCCACCTCCACCCAACATCCCTCCTCCCATGCTCAAACACTGGAGCTGCTCGAGCTCCCCCCCATTCCCCCTTGGTTTTCCCTTTTTTTCCCCTTTTCCTCACAGCGGCTCCCCCTGCTCTGCAGGGCCTGCAGGTGCCTGCCTCTGCAACAGCGCTTCTGGTTTAACCCCTTCTTAACTCTGAAGGTGGATGTGCCGCTGGTTGCCAGTGACAGCAATCTCTTCCTCCTTATCAATATCAGATAGGACAGATGCAGAGGGTGCTCCTCTCTGAGGCACCTGTGGTACGTGATTTTCCACCCTATCTTCCTGATTACTGTTTTTTAACTTTAAACATCCTTCCCCAATATCACAGGCTGAGCATCTCCAGCTTAACTTACAGTTTTTCCCTGTCCTTTTCCAAAGCCAAAATTAAGGAATCTGGCAGAGCTATATTAATTTTGCATTCAGTCTGTCACTCTGGGTAATTTCTTAAAGTGAAAAACATATCTGCATACTTTACTTCATCCCATTTTCCTTGCCCCCTCAAAACAACATCAACTGTAACACTTGAGACAAAGACTTAAATTCAACCAAACAACAGTTAATAACACAGTTACAACATACTGTCACCAGTACCAACATCATAAGACCAAAATCATTACTGTAACAAGCCACAAAATAAGATGAATAACATTAGTAGGCAGGTTTCCTTGAACCCTTTATAGTTGACCAGCCTGTCAGTGTCCCAAGAAGGATGAGACCCTTGTGTCCGACCAGCCTGTCTGCGTCCCACTGTGGGAACCATACTGGACAGCCAGCTCTATGGGAGGGTGATTCTACTAACCTATTCAGGGACCCACACTGACGGCATCACTGAATCAAATCCCTTATGGGCTGTTGATAGCACACTGGACCCAAAACCATTTCCACAGGACACCCCCCTGTGTCTTGTAGGACCCAAACCACAAGATGCCCCCTGCTTAGTTATAACAGTCTGTCACTGATACCAAAATCACAAGAACAAAATCCTTAATATAACAAGCCATAAAATAAATCAAATACCAGTAAAATCCAAAACTTTTTCTGCAAGACACCCCCACATCATTTTCCAGAGAGTTCCCCACATGCATACAGAATTGTGGTGCTGGCCTCTGAGGGTCGCTTACTTCTTCCAACAATCTTCATCACTTCTGGCAGCCTTTGAAGCACGCGCAGTAGATGCTCATACCACTTTAATTGCTTCGTTAGCACCAGAGACATAATAATCCCCCCATCCTCCTACTTATCAGTTAGTTTAACTGTAGCCCATCCTGGACACCTGCAGTTCCCAGATACCCCTTATCCCTGGGTCCTGTTTTTCTAGGCTGTTTTTTCTTAAAGCTGTGTCAACCATAACGATTTATCTTGTGAGAATTCTCACTATGTTCTCTAGCTGCACTCTCTCTATATATTTTTCTCTATGTATCCTGCACCTCAGTAATTTTCCATTGCTACTGTTACAAAGCCATCAAACTTAACATTACTTAAAGCTACTTCTAAAGATTTCTATATCCCATCTTGTAATTTTGTGTCCGTCCCCCCCCCCCCTTCTCAACTTGTCTTGAAGACCCTTAGTGACTAACATGTAATTGGTTAAGCACAGGTGTGAGAACTTGACCTCCAAGCTTGCCAACAGCCCACAGTTCTCATAACTCAGTGAATTCCAGCTTCTCCTTCTATCTTGCTTGCTTAAGCTTCCTCGGGCCTCTCATGGCCTTGCTGTATCTTTTGGGATTATTCAGATTTCATGTACCAAATATCCATTCTCCTGTGAGAGCACTGTCTCCACACAAGTTGTACTTGTAGAAATTTGATCTATCTTATCTGTTCTGCTTGAGAAACTAAAATAGCATAATAGCTCCCAGATGCAGAAAATCCACATGTTTTCAGGAGCTTAGAAGGACGTGCTATGGGTATGGCACTGGTAAGCGATCCGAACCAGAATACCTTGGACATCCTGGAGCACGACATGGGTATGTACTCAGCAGTGTTGTGCTTCTGTGGCTGAGAGTACCGCAGGGCTCTGATCAAGGACTCTGTGGGTCTCATGCTCTGCTAGGGAGGGAGGGAGGCTGGGAGGAAGCAGGGCCAGGACACCTGACCCAAACTGACCAAAGAGGAATTCCATACCCCAGCACGTCCTGCCCAGGGAGGTAACGGGGAGGTACCCGGAAGGGCACTCTCTTCTCGGTCGGGCTCATTTCAGCAGGTGGTATCGTATTCTCTTCCCTTGTTATTTCCCTTACCATTATTATCATTGGTGGCAGCAGCACTGGTTTGTGTTGTACCTCAGTTGCTGGACTGCTCTTATCCCAACCCGTGGGAGTTACATTCTTCCCATTCTCCGCCCTACCCCTCCAGGAGCGGGGGGAAGGAGCGAAGGGCTGCGTGGGACTGAATTACTGGCTGGGCTTAAACCATGACAACTTGTCAGGTGCAGAGGGCCTGCGGAGCTAGGTCCTTAGTCAGAGGCTTCCTCTCGGAAGCTCACTGCTGCAGCAGTCTGGGGGCTCTTGGCTGTGCAAGGTTGGGTGAAATGTCTTCAGTATCACTTTGGAAGGCCCTGCTGTTGCCGAGGCTGAGTTTTGCTGAGGGACAGTGAAATGGAGATTCATGAACCGCTTTATCCAATTTAAAATGCTTTCTCTTGCCCCCAGGGTAATCTCTGTGTTTAAATCTTCCCTAGGAAAGTTTAGGGGCATAATTCCTGTGTTTGGCACGTGGACCTGGCCTCAGTGTGGAGATCTCTACATGCATGGCCAGACTGGGGAGATTCCTTGGGTATACAAACCCTTCCCAGCTTGTCTTTCAAATGGCCATCTCTTCATGCAGGCTTGATGAAGCACTGGAGATGTCCGTGTTGGTATTTAGCTTGTCACTGGCTATTAGCACTAACATGCCATGTATAAATCTGCAAAGGAGATGCTGAGTAAGAGCCTCAGAGGGTATTTGACAACCCTCTATTTCTTTGTTTTCAATGTTCAACCCCCTTAGCACAACAGGATGGCTGCAGGTTAAAGATCCCGCATTACAGAAAGTTGATCTCAGCTGATGTACAAGCTTGGTGCTGGGAAGGCTATTTCCTTCAAAGCCTTTTTCTGCAACTCTCTAGTAGCAGGAGCTTGATGGTATTGACCAACAAACAACTGTATGTGCTTGCATTTCTTGTCCCCTTTGTAGGTGAGCAAGAGCATCTGGTGAGCATCAAAATAGATATCAGTATTGAGAGTGCTTGGTTCTTGCCCATGTCAACAAGAGCGTAGCTCCCTGTGCGGCTGTTTCCTGACTAATGACCTGACCTTTCCAAAGGGACATGTCTAGGCAGCAACAGGCTGCTCTTGCTCCGTTGCTGCGGTTACAGCCCGGCAACAGTTCCCAGGGCATAGGGAGCTCAGCTCCATGTTGTGCTTACAGCCCTGCGAGGACAATTATGACGTCATAGGTTGCTCAGCTCCTATGGCCACAGCTCTGTGAGGGTTGCAGCAGGCAGCAGAACTGCAGTGGCTGCTGCGTGCACAGTGGGGCTGGAGAGGCGAGGCAGGAGCACCGGCATCATGCTGGGCCAGAAGCCAAAGCTCAGCAAGCGCATCCGTGAGCTGCGTGCCAGCATAGCCTTGCAAGGTGCTGCCCTGTTGGCTTTGCATTATGGAGTGGGCCAAGTAGGGGGCTTTTGGTCCCCGCATCATCCTGCATGGTACCAACAGCTTCTCAATGTCCTGCAGGGCAAGCAAGGAAGTTTTACAGCAAGTCAGAGGAAGGAAAGTTCAATGAGAACCGAGAGCTGCTGCCCCAGCTGCGAGAGGCGGTGCAGGAGGATATCCATGCCCTGGGCCTTGTCCGCAAGGTACCAGCAGGTCCCATTTGCTGTGTCTGTGACTGTGACTCTGCTGGACCTGCAGAGCTAGCTTCTCCACTGGTCCTCTCCAGGAGCAGGAAGTGCAGGGCAGCAGGAGGCTGGGACCATCCCCAGGCTGGCATTGATGTGTTCTCTGCCCTTCTTCTGCCCACAGCACGAGCTCACCATCTCTGAGGCTTGTGGAGCGGAGCAGCCCTTGGGCATTGCTTTGGCCAGTAAGACCTTGGAGGTAAGAGCAGAGTCCAGCGGGCCCAGGCTGCTGGCAGTGGGCTGGGGTTGAGGGGATGCTCAGAAGGACCGGCTGTAGGGAACAGGGACCTGGTGCCAGCACCAGGACAGCCCCCAGGGCTGGTGCAGTGAGACACGGGGTGTTCAGGAGTGCTCCCGTGGGACCCTTTGCACTGCAGGACCCATCAGTGTCCTCCATTAGCTCCCTGAGCAGGTCCTTTGCCCCAGCAGAGCTCCTGTCCTGCCAGGGAGTGACCAGGTCCCAGCATCCCCAGCTCTACCTCTCCCATCCAGGTGGCCCAGGAGAAGCTCCGGGCTGAAGTCTATGACAGGGTGAACAAATGCAACATGCTGCTGTACCAGATGGAGCAGCGGAGCCGGGCCAAGGAGCAGCTGCAGAGGCGGCTGCAGCAGCTGCAGGATGTCCGGGTGGCTGACAAGCAGCACCAGGTACAGGTCCCAGAGACCCTTCCTAGGGTGGCAGCACCCGTGGGGGGTTTCAGCCAGCCCTGCCCCCCTGGGTGGGCACTGGTCTCAGTCCATGGGCTCACCCCTTGTCTCCAACCATCTCTGCCCCAGGTGATTCGTGTGCTGCAGAACAGCATAGACAAGATGCACACAAAAATCCACGCTGGGCAGAAGGTGGCTGCCCTGTACGTGGTGGTGCGGGATGCCCTGAGGAAGGTGAGCTCATCCTCACCGTGCCGTTGTCTCACCCGCTCCCCCTGCAAAGGCACTGAAGTGCCCAAGGGGCTGTGCTGGTGGGACACCCTCCTGCGGGAGGTCCTCCTGCTCCCCTCCATCTTCTGTCCCAGCACAGGGCACCCCTGGGACTCAGTGGGCTGTGGCTCCCTGTGTCCCAGGAGCTGGCCCACCTGCCTCTGCACCTGGACCTCCTGAGTGAGATGGCCGAGCTGCAGCATGGGGAGGTGGAAGACATGGAGCTCATGGCCTTGGATGGGCTCCGAGCTGCTCGTGTAACCAAGGTGAGATGGTCCAGGGCACCTCAGGGTGCTTTCCTGCTCCCCAGAGCACACAGATGGCACCAGATGTCTGTGCTGCCGAGTCTTCCTTCAAGAAAAATAAAGACTGAGCTTGGCTTCCCCGCAGCACCCAGATGCCTCCATAGCTCCTCCTGTGTCTGGCTCTTGGGCCTGGCTGCCCTGAGTTGGGGACAGCTGCCGGAAGCCGTGGCCATGGGGAAGGTGGCATTCTCCATTCTCTAGCTGTCCTTGCTGGGTTTCCTTCCCAGGCTGTTTACACGGGGTAGGGGGTGGCATTTTTGATGCTGGCCGTGCCAGGCTCAGAAGCTCACAGAGCTCCATTGGAGCTTTGGGAGCCACTTCTCTTCTGCTCTGCTCTGCTCCAGGAGCACATGGCCAGGACGAAAACCCAGCTCCTTGCAGAGAGAGAGCTCAGGCTCCGCACCCTGGCTGCTCAGAAGGAGCCCATGGACAGAAGCTGGCGCAAGGAAGCAGAAGAAAGGCTTCTGAAAGGGGTGAGCTGGGGGGACCTGGCACAGGCAGGGTTGCAGGCATAGGGCGGGCATCAGTGCCCAGCCTGCCATGGGTGAGGGGCTGCAGGGCCGGCTCCCCCAGGGTGCCAGCAGCTCAGGGGTGACGATGAACATCCTTGCAGCAAGCCAGGCGTGACCTCACCAGGGACTTCCTGGGCCTGCCCGCAGAGGACCCACCGGTGGGTGAGTGCCTGTCAGGGTGCAGGGGGGGATGCAGGCACAGCCGCAGGCATCCTTCCCTGCCACAACCTTTCCACCGCAGCCGCCGAGCCGGAGGCCCCCAAGTCCCAGCTGGAGCGTGAGGCCTGCGTGATGGAGAAGCTGGAGAAGGCCAAGGCTGCGGTGCAGTGCTCCCGCCTCTGGGTGAGTTGAAAACCCATCTCTGGTAGAACCTGGGGCTGCTCCAGCCCCAGGGAGCTGAGCCTCGTCTGCTCACCCTGTTCCATGGCAGGGTTCTCTGCTCTCCTCTGTCCCCAGAGCCCCCCAGGGCCCCTCTTGTACAGGCAGGGATGGAACTGCTTTGCTCCACGCCATGATCTTGCAGTGGTTCCTGTGGATCCTGGTGCAGAAACCTCCCCAGGACCACGGCCCAGATCCTGTACCCTGCAGGAGTGCCCTGGGCTGAGTCCTTGTGCTCTCCCCCCGGCCAGGACATCCCCATCAGGATCCTGGCACAGCAGAAGTCCCTGGCGGAACTCGAGCAGTACCTCGCAGGGCGCAAGGAGGAGAAGCAGGAGCTGCAGAAGGCACTGAAGGAGCTGGAGATGCAGCTGGAGGAGCTCAAGTTTCGCCAGCCCCCAGCCACAACCAGGTGCTGCTGGCCTCCGGACAGTCGTGCCAAAGGGGCCATCACCCTTGGGGGCAGGGGGACATGTGCATGGCAGGGGTCCCAAGAGGGCACCCCTTCCTTGGGCACCCTGCAGCTGCCCACCCCTCCTGCACTGGGAGGGTTTCTGAGCAGAGTGCTGCCCCAGCTCTGGTGCTGGCAGAGCACGCAAAGCTCCTGCGCTGGCAGCAGGAGGAGCCTTGCTCCTTGCCTGGCATGGGAAGTGGGAGCAGCAGCAGCACGGGGTTGAGGTGCAGGCAGCATCTCTGCCCTGCGCTTGGGGCAGGGGAGAAGCTGGGCAGCAGCTTTTGCAAGGGGTTTGGGGTGTCTGCACCCCTGTGCAGTTGTATGGATGTGAGCGTGCTTGGCTCCAGGGGGCTGGAGGAGGAGCTGAGGACGAGGCTGCAGTGGGAAGAGGCTCGGCTGGAGCAGAGGCGAGCCCAGCTGCTGAGGAGCCAGGAGACGCTGCTGGAGTTTGAGAACGGAGTTGACAACCTCTTCGTCCGCCTGCGGGGCATCCCCGTGCCTGGCCAGGTACCCGCACAATGCTGGGCTGAGCACAGCCCGGGCTCTGCTTGGTGGTGCAACGGCACCGTGGGGTGACCCTTGGTGCAGCAACCATCACCCCAAGGGGCTCGTTCTGCCCACCAAGGCTGTTCCCTCTCTGGCTCCAGGAGCACTCTGGCAAGGCCATGGGAGTGGACGAGAAGCTCCAGCAGTGCGAGCAGAAGCTGCAGTACCTGGTGCAGCGGGTGGCTGACCTGCCCCCCTCCAGCCTCAGCGAGGATGATGAGGTGCGCGGGGGCTCCATCCCTGCTGCGGTCTTTGGGGACCCACACAGGCTTTCCCGGGTGGCCCATCCCAAGCCATCCTCCCAGCTGGAGGATGGAGGTGCTCGAGGGAAGAGCCACGGAGCAGCTCAGGCCCAGGTGGCCCTGGGCTCTGTGGGGTGTTCCCTCCCTCCCAGGGGCACATCGAGGTTGGGCACCCCTTTGGTTGTAACACCCGCCTCCCCTTCAGCTATGAACACAGCGTCTCTTTCCCAGACTTTTGTGAAGGTCCGACAGCTCCTGGAGAAAACCCTCCTGAGCGATCCACGGAACCAGAAGGTTCCCTTGGAGGACACGGGCATGGGGGACCCAGGTAGGAAAGGGGACACATCCCACAGCAACTGCCCCAGCCCCTGCCCCCTGGGATTTCTGGGTGTCCTTGCCCACCTCCCACTGTCCCAGCAGAGCCCAACCCAGGAGCTGCTCCAGGCGTTGGGGCTGACCTCGGCTGTCTCCAGGCCTTTGAGCATAGTGCTGGTTTGATGTGTGCATGTGGCAGACTGGAGACAGATGGTGGGCTGGGGAGCGTAGAAGCACCGCAGGAGCAAGGAGGGATGCTGTGGAGCTAGCGGGGAGACCCTCGTCTTCCAAATCCCTTGGCTGGGAATATTCTTCACAGCCAGGGCTTGGCTCTGCCAGCGGCCTCCTCCTAGGGGAGCTTCTGGTACCTTACCACCTTTTCTTAACAAAGCAGGACCCAGGGCTTTATGGGGAGCCCCAGCAGGGTTGAGACAGGCCACAGCAGGTCCTGCAGGTCCCCCTGGGCTGCTGCTGTGGCACAGCCAATGGGCAGTGCCTGTCCTGAGGGCTCCCCACGGTGCCAGCAGCCCTCCCAAATGTGCCGGCTCCTCCTGGGGACACAGGCACAGCAGAGGCAGCCCCACAGACCCTCCCCAGCCCGCTCCTCTCCGCTCTCTCCTCCAGACTACTTTGATTTTGATGACGACCACAGTGGCCTTGTCCTCACCAGAGAAGCCATCAAGAGCCAAGGGCTGGAGCTGATCGAAAGCAAGAGGCAAAGCAAGAAGCAAAGCAAGAGGAAGTAGTGGTTGCTCCCCGAGAGCTGGGGATGCCTCAGACCATCTGCTGTACCCTTTTCCCCTTCGATGTAATAGAGCAGATGCTTTTCCTTCCTCCCAAGCCTGTGGTAGAGCTGAAACAGGGGCTCCCAGGTGCCTTGTCACCCAGAACACACAGGGCTCAACCTGACTGTTGCTGCTGCACCCGGCCCTGGGCGAGGCAGTGCTGGGGACGTGACGGGTGGCAAAGAGGTACAAGAGGCAGGCAGAGGAAACCAATGGCAGTACATTGGTTCCTGGGTTTAGAAAGCAACAATGAACCATGGGGTACCCCAGGAAAGCAGCGGCAGGGATCTTCCTGCCACAGTGACCCCTGAGCTCGATGGGGCATCCCTGCAGTGGGGCAGGGGAGCTGAATGAGACATGGCGGGGCACTGGCCCCACCACACAGAGACCATGGGGCAGGAGAGCCATGTCGGGGAGTGCCAATCTGGGGCTCACCCCAAATTGTGGAAAAGGAGCTGGGGCTGCATGGGGCTCTCCAGCATAGAAAAGTATGGCTTGAACCTGCCCGAGGGGAGACTGAGCTGAGCTCTGAGGCAGAAGCTGTTCCCTGTGAGGGTGCTGAGGCGCTGGCACAGGGTGCCCAGAGAAGCTGTGGCTGCCCCATCCCTGGCAGTGCTCAAGGCCAGGTTGGACACAGGGGCTTGGAGCAAGCTGCTCCAGTGGAAGGGGTCCCTGCCCATGGCAGGGGTTGGAGCTGGAGGAGCTTTGAGGTCCCTTCCAACTCTAATTATGAGAAAACACATTATATATTCATCACACTAAGGGAAAATGGCAAAATCACCACCCAAGTGTTGAATGTTCCTAAATCAGTTTCTTTAGAACATTCAATACTTGGTGTATTTCCAGAATTGTGCAAAACAGTTTGCTTGGATCAAAGGAGAAATCTAATTTTACAGATTATTTGTTTTGGTTGAATCATGCCTTCAGTTGAACGAATCTGGGTTTGTTACTTGCGTGTGATCTGCCAGACATCACAGTGTTCTTTCTGAATTAACAGATGAAATAGGTTTGTATCAGTGAATTCAACTTCCTTCATTGCCTTGTTTGGGATTTTAAGCAGCTGATTATTAAGGCCTCCTCAGACATCCTGGAAAAGGCGTTCCACTTTCCCAACAGTTTGGCTTAACAAATCCCTCCAATTACTTCTAACAGCTTCTTTCAAGCAAGTGTCCATATCCCTCATGAGCTGCCTATGGGAATTTTGTGGATGAAGAAGAGAAGCCAAAGTCATTTGATGTGGAAAATGTAACTTTATCTCCTTCGCATGTCAGCATGGAGCGTTTCAGCAGCTTTTGATACGTGATTAGCCAGAAAACATCTGCTCCCTCTCCTGGTTCAGAGAGAGTAAGACAGCAATGGGAGGTTACTACGAACCTGCAGATACACTACCACCACCAAACTCCAGATACAGCCACAGCTACACAGCATATATGGATTTACTGTCCCCTGAAACACCTGTGTCACCACAGTCTGACTGCAATAGTATATTGATGTATTTCTTTCCTTAGCCAGAAAAACTCTGCTAGATTTAGTAAGAGAACTGATGCTTCTGCTTTGCTTAGCCCCTGTGCAGTACTGCACTGGAAAGCTCAACACCTTGACCCATCTCACATGCACTAAGAAGACTCTGACAAAACCAGCTGCTGTGAGCTTTCCTGCAGTACTGGTCAGCACAAATGGGTGCTCATGTGCAAGGGCACAGGATGAGGCATTACCCCATTGACGTGGTTTAACCCCAACCAGACAGCTTTCACTCACTCACTCCCCCCCTTTCTTGCCCTCCCCCTACTCCTGGAGGGACAGAGAGGAGAATCAGAAAGAATGCAACTCCCACGGGTTGAGATAAGAACAGTTTAGTAACTAAGGTATAACACAAATCACTACTGCTACCACCAATAATAGTAATGATAAAGGAAATAACAAGGGAAGAGAATACAACACCCCATCACCAGGCGACCGATAACTTGACGCCCCAGCCCGACCGATACCTCCTCCAACCCTGCAGTCCACTTAGCCCTTCCAGCTAACCCCAGTTCCCCCTGGGCATGACGTGCTGTGGTATGGAATACCTCTTTGGTCAGTTTGGGTCAGGTGTCCTGTCTCTGCTTCCTCCCGGCTTCCCCTCCTCCCTGGCAGAGCAGGAGGCTCACAAAGTCCTTGGACAAACCAAAACATCATTTTTATCAGCTCTGTTCCCAGCCCAAAAGTAAAACACAGCACTGCACCTGCTACCCAGACAGAGAAAAATGACTGCTACTGCTAGACCCAGGACACCCATTTACAAACATAATCCTAAGGCACACATTCTTCCCTGTGAGGGTGCTGAGGTGCTGGCACAGGGTGCCCAGAGAAGCTGCGGCTGCCCCATCCCTGGCACTGTTCAAGGCCGGGTTTGACACAGGGGCTTGGAGCAAGCTGCTCTAATGGAAGGGGTCCCTACCCATGGCAGAAGTCAGAGCTGGGTGAGCTTTAAGGTCTCTTCCAACCCAAACCAGTCTGGAACTCCATGATATAGCACCACAGATGACAATCAGGCAACACTGAGAAAGGCCTAAAAATCCCTCTATGGAAAAGAAATTAGTATATATGTCTGTATTTGATGGAAGCAAAAAAGATAAAGAATGAAACAAAAATTCCATCTCAAGTGGGTGGAAAATGCCACAAAGAGGATGAGAACAAAACTCACCGAACGGGTAATAAAGTCACTTTTCGGGCAGTGGCAACAGAGCAGGTGGGTGAGGACATCCCCTGCTTGCTCCTCCCCACAGGACGCAGCCTGCCTCAGTCAACACTTGTGTTGTTACAGCTGGAGATGTTCAAATGTGTGAAAGCACTGGCAAGGCCCAGGCTGACTGAGCTGGGTCATCCCTGCTTGCCCCACGTACACAGGAGCATGAAGCAGCACAGGTTGATCCACTCCGGTGGAACGGGTGAGTTAATGAAACCATTACAAACACAGGGCAGGACTGCTCAGAGCTGTCAAGTTAGGATTATTTGTGGGCTATAAAGCAAGGGAGGTTAACATCTGTGGTGTTATAAAAATGGTATTTGTGGATCAGAAGCAAAGAATTGTGTGTTAGGACAACATGGGCAGTGGCTGCTAAAATTCTCCCTGAGATGGCTGTGCAGGATTGAGGCAAAAGCTTTATTGTCCAAGCATTCTTTATGTGCTTGGGAAGAACACTGGGTATCTGAATGAGACACAGGCTGCCCAAATCAATGTGCCTTAATAAGAACAATGCGTGCGTACACACAGCTCCTCCCGATCTATGCCCCTCTTCAGAGGGAAAACCCTCAATTCTATACATGAAAAGCATTAAGGAAGGGTCAGTTCACTCTCAATCAACTCAAGGGCAAGACTTCACTGTGGTCAGAGGAGCTGCGGATTTGTCAGCATAGCCCAGACTTGTTTCAAAATGGATTTATGAACAGATAGCAAAAGCTTTGCAAGAAAAATGGTCTGAAGTTGGATGGAACACCTTGAGCATGTGAACACGTTTGGTACTCAGCACCACGAGGCATTCTGCAAGTCTGATGGGTCTTTTTAATACCTCGCTTCTAATACCTTCTGTAGGCCATCAGCTGGATCTCATCACTCAGCAATTCCTTTCAGACACAAAACCCAAACAGCAACTGTGACCCTCTCAAACTCTTTGGGGGTAAAAATGATGCTCAGAGTTCCAAAGGAGATCAGATAGATCAGAAACTGTGAGGAGTTCTGGCAAAGCAGTGATGAGACCTTCCAAAATGCCTTTTATCTTGGAAAGGCAAGAATCAAAAGAGAAGAGCATCTGACAGGGCTCTTTTAGTCATGGAATTCAAATACAAAGTGCAGGTTCCAAAAGGCCCCATAAATGCATTGGAAGTTGGAAGTAATTGGCTCTCCTGTGAACCAGGAAAGAGGAGCAATAAAAACCCTACACCAAAACCATCAGGAATGACAGGCAGCTGGGAAGCTCCAGAGAGAAACTATGTGCATTTTGTCAACCAAGAACAAGTAAGACACAATCCCTAAGTAGCCCAGAAGAGCAGACACCCTCTGGGCTGCCTTATAAAGGAGCAGATGCATTTAAAATGCAAAAGAAATAAAGACAAGAACACTGTAAGAATCTACCTCAGCCTCTGCCAGAAATAAAAGGCAAATTCCTGGACTTGGACCGCACAAAATAAGGAGGAATAAAACTAACTAAAACAGAGTTTTGCAGCTGAATTTTACTAGGTTCTAAAGGGAATCTGAGCTCTTATGGTAGTGTAAATTGAACGTGATAATGTACGAAGGAAATAAGCCATCTGCTTGGAAAAGAAACAAGGGCAATTGCAATAGGCGGAAAAACACAGGCTTATTAACACGGTATTGGAATGAATATATTAGCAGATTGATTAGATGTGAACTGCTGAGATACACACCCAGATCAATGAATGCTCAGTAGAAGCAAGAAAACTGCAGACAAATATGAGAGGTCCCTCCTGTGCTGGGGCCCCAAGCTGGATGCAGGACTTGCATAGAACATAGAACGCAGAATTACTGGGAAAGAAGCCTCAAAACCATAGCTGACAAGCAGTGACAGGCAGGAGTGCCTACCTGCAGGTTTTAGTGCAGCTGCTTGCCCCAGCCATAGGGCTTCTGGCCACAGTAATCATGCTGGAGCTTCAATCAGCAGGAACAGAAGGATGGAGCAAAGCACAGTCCTTTAAAACAAACATATCCTGAGTAAGTTTACCCGAGGATACAAACGGGAGTCAGAAAAGGTGCATGTCTGCATCTATCTGTAATTTAGTTTAGATTAGAAAAAGAAAGGTAATATTTAAGTATATTGAGATCACATTTCAGCTTCAGACACTGGCGTCATGGAATATCCATTTGTGACAGAAGACAACAAAAACCTCATCAAAATACTACTGCAGTCATAATGTGTCCTCAAGGCACTACTGAAAAAGGCCTCGAGTGCCTTTGAGCCACA